AAATGGAGGAGAAGCTGCAAAAAGTTACATGCTCTTGATTATTGTTTACTTACTAATATTTTTAAAACTTTTTTATTTTTCTTTTTGATGCCATGTGAGTGGAGGAAACAGCTCTTGAGTATTATTTTTAAAAATCTATAGGGTTTGTAGCAGTCCACGGTTTACAGAGTGCACTTTGACATACATTATCTCATTTTAGCCCCACTGAATACATACTGCGTGCCAGGCATGGAGCCAGACACAAACATGGACAGAACAGTGCATTTTTTCTATTTATTTATTTTTTTTCTGAGAGGCAGAGTCTTGCTCTGTCACCCAGGGTAGAGTGCAGTGGCGCAATCTTGGCTTACTGCAACCTCCGCCTCCCGGATTCAAGCAATTCTCCTGCCTCAGCCTCCTGAATAGCTGGGATTACAGGTGCGTGCCACCATACCTGGCTAATTTTTGTATTTTTACTAGAGACAGGGTTTCACTGTGTTGGCCAGGCTGGTCTTGAACTCCTGATCTCAGGTGATCCACCTGCCTCAGCCTCCCAAAGTGCTCAGATTACAGGTGTGAGCCATTGCACCCATCGGCTGGGAGCTTCAGTCTGGTTGTAAAGAGAAAACAGAAACTGGTACCTAAATTTCCAGGTAAAATTGGGTAGGTGCTATAAAGAAGGGGCAGATTCCTAAGACACTTCATTGGAGGCTACCACAGTCAGCTGGGCAGGACCAGGGGAGGGAGAGAAATCAGGAAAAATTTAAGGACAGGAAAATTGTAGGAGTAAAACAAAGATAGGAGCTTCCTCGGTGCTGCCTACAGAGGTAGCAGCGATCTCCTCGGCATCATGGCCACCCTTAGACCCCTTGTGAAACCCAAGATCGTCAAAAAGAGAACCAAGAAGTTCATCCGGCACCAGTCAGACCGATATGTCAGAATTAAGCGTAGCTGGCGGAAACCCAGAGGTATTGACAACAGGGTTCGTAGAAGGTTCAAGGGCCAGATCTTAATGCCTACCATTGCTTATGGGAGCAAATAAGAAAACAAAGCACATGCTGCCCAGTGGCTTCCGGAAGTTCCTGGTCCACAACGTCAAGGAGCTGGAAGTGCTGCTGATGTGCAACACATCTTACTGTGCTGAGATCGCTCACAGTGTTGCCTCCAAGAACCGCAAAGCCATCGTGGAAAGAGCTGCCCAGCTGGCCGTCAGAGTCACCAACCCCGATGCCAGGCTGCGCAGTGAAGAAAATGAGTAGACAGCTTATGTGCACGTTTTGTGTTTAAATAAAACTGGCATCTTCCTTCCTTAATTAAAAAAAAAAAAACAAAGATAGGAAGGGTTGCAGATAAATAGGCGTGTAGAGCAGTTTTTTGCTAGACCTCTTCTCGCCCAGATCAAGTATCTATTTTCCTGTCTGACAAGTAGCCGTAAGTATTCTCTTCGGCGTCTACCAAACTCATTTCTTCTCCGTCCTTCTGTCTATGCCTTCCTTCGGTGTCGACTCTATTTCTACTTGTAGAGGTTCCTGACAGGCCACTTGCCTCCAATGCAGCATTCCTTTCCAATTGCTTTTCAGTGTTACTGTCGGAGGGGAACTTTTACTGGCAGGAGCTTTCTGAAATACAAATGTGGCCAAGTCCTTCCTCTATTTAAAATCGTTTGATGACCAAATATCTTCTGCAGAATAAAATCCAAGTCTTGGTAATCAAGGCCTTTCATATTGGGGCCTCTGCCTACCTCTTCGGTTCTGTGTGCTGCTCCTTTGACCTGCACCACAGTATTTGATTTCCCGAAGCCTCCGTAGTCTCTCCATACCTTATGTGCTATTCCTGCTATAAGGAATGTCTTCCTTACTCTCATTTGCCCAGGCAACTCCTATATGTCTTCAAAATCTAGCTTAAGCACTTCCTCTAAGGAGCCTCCTCTCATTTCCATTAGTTTGGATTTGGTTGTGCCACAGCTCTGATCCCAGAACCCCCCTTACATTCTTTCTATATGGCATTTAACACAGACTGAAGTGTAAACTCTTGGTTCAGTCTCTTGTTGCCATTAGACTGTGTTGCCTGGAGGTAGGAGCTATCTCATTTGTCTGTCCCCAGTGCCCAACAAGGTTTCACAGTATAGGTGTTTGATAAATGTTTGTTGCATTTTAGACAGATTATAGCATGAGCCATACCACAAAGGATCTGTCAGGGAATGGATGGGGCTTTCTGGTCTGCCTAGACTCCAAGGGATACACAGGGAGCCATAGGGATTAAGCCTGGGAAAAAGGTTGTGCTGGCTCTTTGAAGGCCCTTCCTGCTCAGCTCATCGTTCCTCTGCCCCTATTGAGGGAGAAGTGAGGGGAAGACTGCGACACGGGCCAAGGAGTTAGCACTTTAGATGGTGGGTAGCAGAGAACCATGAGGTGTTAGATGATCAGAGCCGGGCCAAAGATGGGGAGGATGGGTTGGGGAAGGGGAAGGTGGGGGGTGGGAGAAAACAGGCAGCTATTAGCTCTGTTTTACAGAAACAGAAGCTTACGGAGAATGTGACAGCTGGTAAGTGGCAGAACTAGAGGCTGAACCAGTTACTTCTGGACTATGCCAAGTTCAGAGATCCTTGCACCACGTGAATAAGGAGTATACAGTAGATGAGGCTTCAAGGTTGTCCAAGTGTGAGAGGGACCCTGTAGCAGTCAGGATAGGTTATACTGCAAACACAGTACTCAAAATTGCTGTTGTTTAACAAAATAACGGTCATTTTCTATTCACACAAAGTCCACTATGGTGCTGGATAAAACCTTAGGGCAGCTTACCAATCCAGGCTGCTTTGATCTGCTGGCACTCCTCCTCAACCTGTGCTTCTGCAATTCCCACAACAGGGAAGGAGTGTTTGGAGAATCAGGCCCTGGCTGCATTTCAGAAGGGACACACATTACTTCCCATTATAGGCTGCTGACCTATAATGACTAGTCCAATGACCCCACTTGACTATACAGGGACTGGGATGCACAGCCTTTTGTGTGTCCAGGAAGGGAAGAGAACAGCAAGTATTTGTGGGAAATACTAATGCCTACTCAAGACATCATGGAATGATGCCTACAAGGAAGGAGGCATAGGCCAGTCTTGAACCGACAGCAGATGTGCAGAAGAGAGCGGTTTTGCTCAGGATTTGGGTGTTAGAATCAGGGCTGTTCTGGTCACCACAGAGAAAGGTCCTTTCTTCATGGCTGTGGGTGAGCTAGAGTGTACACTGTACCAGTGGGTTCTCACATGTAGCAACGTCTGCAGAATTTGGGGAACTATGAGGACAGAGGAGAGGGTGACCTCGCTCAGATGGTGGTTGGCAAGAGGCTTTGGTTCTTTGCCATGTGGGCCTTTCCATAGGGCTACTTAAGTGTCCCACAGTATGGCATCTGGCTTTCCCCAGGGCAAACAGAGAGGGGAAGAGGGGAGAGACACTAGAAGCCATGACTTAGCCTTGGAAGTCACATGCCATCACTCTTTTTTTTTCTTGAGACAGTCTCACTCTGTCACTTAGGCTGGAGTGCAGTGGTGTGATCTCAGCCCACTGCACAACCTCCACCTCCCAGGTTCAGGCGATTCTCCTGCCTTCGCCTTATGAGTAGTTGGGAATACAGGCATGTGTCACCACGCCTGGCTAATTTTTTAATCTTTAGCAGAGATGGGATTTCACCATGTTAGCCAGGCTAGTCTCGAACTCCTGACTTCAGGTGATCCACCTGCCTTGGCCTCCCAAAGTGGTGGAAGTACAGGCGTGAGCCACTGCACCTGGCCACTCTGTCTTTTAATTGCACTTACATACCAACCATGAATCACTGTAGAAGGGGACCACACAAGGGCATGAATACCAGGCAGGGATAACTGGAGGTCATCTTGGAAGCTGCTACAGGGGAACAGGTAACCAACAAGGAGCCTTATCTGGAGGGTGGTATCCTCTTAAGCCCTTCCTGCTCAGCTCATCGTTCCTCTGCCCCTATTGAGGGAGAAGTGAGGGGAAGCCTGCGATAACCTTATTAAGGAAGCAGGACCAGTACAGAGGCTCCACTGCATGTTGCAGAAACCCAGGGCATGAAGCCTGACTCCTATGTGTTACCACAACAGGCTACATGTGCAGCACCCACAGCCTTCCCCATGCCGCCTAGGTTTTAGGCATTTGTATACAGCCCCTCGCACTCCACATTCGTCTCTGCAGCACCTGGGCTAGGTACAGAAGAGCAGCCACACCCTCTTCAGAGGGAGCCAAGCCGGATCTGCTTTCCTCCACAGCTGCTGCATCTGCCCCAGGGCACTACTGTGCTGAGTATGAGGAGGCAGGTTTTTTTTTCTTTTTGAGACAGAGTCTAGTCTCGCTCTGTTGCCCAGACTGGAGTGCAATGGCGAGATCTCAGCTCATTGCAACCTCCGCCTCCTGGGTTCAAGCGATTCTCCTGCCCTAGCCTCCCAAGTCACTGGGATTATAGGTGCCCATCACCATGCCCAGCTATTTGTGTATTTTTAGTAGAGACAGGGTTTCACCATGTTGGCCAGGCTGCTCTCGAACTCCTGACCTCAGGTGATCTGCAAATGCTGGGATTACAGGTATGAGCCACCGAGCCCGGTCAAGGAGGCAAGTTTAAGAGCAGCCCACCCTGGCTGGAGGACACCGTGGGGTGGTGTGGTCCTTTGGGGTGTTTGAGGAGGGAAGGTCCTCACCGTGCCACACTCCCACACCCAACATCATTCTGTTTCCAACCCCACGCTGGTGTTTCTGTTTCTGTTCCAGAATCCCTCCTGAAGCTTCTAGCTGGGCAGCCCCTCTGTAGTGCGGGCTGGGGCTGCCTCCTTCTGACAGAACACTTAGAAGAAATTCTCACCTGAAAACCCCACCTGAGACCTGTGGAACTGCCCTGCCCTGCAGGCCACCTCGGATTCTTCCCTGCTGAGGTGAAGTGCTGCCTCTCACCCTGACGGGGCCACACCAGTCCTTCCTTCCCGTCCTAGCCGCACAAAAGAAACCAAAACCCACGCCGAAGTATCAGAAACGTGTATTCTTTTTCTTTTAATAGTAAACCTCTTTACAACAAATATAGTGAAAGAGTTTTCAAACAAAACTCATAAGAATCTCGAGGACTTTGTCTTTTCTTATTGTGTAGAATACTAAGAAAGCATCACCATACAGCACGAAAAGAAATATTGAAAACAAATCAACAGCCTCACACTTGGACTCGCCCTGCCCCAGGACCCAGGAAGAGCCCCAGGAGTGTGGGTGATTGTCAGGTGTGGGGGTGGGGCACCTCCACGGCCCATCCTGCCCCTCCCTTCCTCTTTCTCACCCCCTCCCTCCCTCTGGGACTTGAATGGGGAAGAGAGAATCCAGATTCTCCATTCCAGCCTCCCTCCCCCCATACAAATGCCATTCCTTCTACCAACCAATTTAAGGGGTGGGGAGAGGCAGCAAAGGGGAGTACACGGAGTTCCCAGGCTCCCTGTCTTTCCCCTCTCAGGAAAGCCTAAACTTACCCCTCACCCCACCCCAAGGGATTCCAAAGAGTCAGTTAAAAATATATAGATATAGATATTTCTAGATACACTTTTACATTTCTGTCTCTCCAAACAAATAAATAATCAGCAAGAGAAGGTGCATTACTTCCTTCCTGTCCAAGGTGGGGAGGGCTGGGAAGGGTTCAGGGGTCAGTCTCGCTGCACTGAGTGTGCTGTTGAGGGGGAGGATGGTGTGTTCCATTGAGGTGGTGGTGGTGGTGGGGTCCTCTTGCCCACTGTCCCTGAAAGCTGTGGGAAACCTGGGGAGGGGAGGGCCATTAGATGACTCCAGTGGTTACTTTGGCAAATGCCCAGTTTTTCAAAGGGAGTGAGTGGGTGGAGGCGAATTTGGCTTGAGAGGAAGAAGACATTAAGTCCCCATCTGAGGTCTGGGTTCCCAGGGACCCAGTCATCTGGCTGCCCAGGAGCCCCTACCACTAAAGAAACCTTCGGATACTGAACTGCAGAAATGTCACATATTCACAGACCACCCGGTCCCCAGGGACAGAGAAGAAAGGACACAGAAACATCCACACATGGTAATCAAAAGCTAGGTTTGCCTTTATGAGGCAGAGGGCAAAACTGGTGAATACTGCACCGTGAACTGCAGGGGCCCTCACCCCCACCCTGTGTTTAATGGTGGCCAAGCCCAGCCTATAAAGGTGGGCAGACTAATGGTGGGAACAACCTGAGAAGGGAAGGCCAGGCATTCATTTATTGAGCACCTGTCATTTCAACCATTCACCCATTCAGCATTTATTGAGTGCCTACTATGTGCCAGGCACTGGGCGAGGCTCTGGGGATGCATGCATGAACAAGATTATACCCTGGCTTCTGCCAAGGCCTGGATCGAGGCTTGCCAGTTCTTTTTTTTTTTTTTTTGAGACAGAGTTTCCCTCTTGTTACCCAGGCTGGAGTGCAATGGCATGATCTCGGCTCACCGCAACCTCCGCCTCCTGGGTTCAAGCAATTCTCCTGTCTCAGCCTCCTGAGTAGCTGGGATTACAGGCGCGCATCACCATGCCCAGCTAATTTTTGTATTTTTAGTAGAGACGGGGTTTTACCATGTTGACCAGGATGGTCTCGATCTCTTGACCTTGTGATCCACCCACCTCGGCCTCCCAAAGTGCTGGGATTATAGGCGTAAGCCACCGCACCTGGCTGTGGCTTGCCAGTTCTTGAAACTCCCTCTAGAAGCCTGTAGGAGAGGTGGGAAGGCTGGACATGCGGTCCCCACCCTATCAGCGGGTTGGGGTTAAGAGTGAGTAAGAACGGATCACTGCTCAGCTGAGGGAGAAACTTCAGGGAGAAAGCGGGACTTGAGTTTTACTCTGAAAGCAGGTCTGGGGTTAGGGGAAGAGGGTACTCCAGGAACTGTGTGTCAAGTGTGGGCGACCAAGTGGACAAGTGTGGGTGGAAGCAGAAATCCCTGGAGGGAGAGGCCCTGGCAGAGGTAGGGCTGCAGGGAGAAGCACAGAGGACCAACTGCCAATCCCCCCAACTGCAGTTCAATGCGTCAGAGCTGAGGGTGAGCACAAGGAAAGGAGCAGGGGAAGACGGGAGTGGGGGTCAGAGAGCTGAAGCCAGGGGTGTGGAGCTGGGACAGCCAAACGTCCCTTTGTAAACACACACCAGCCACACACAGACACAGAGATACCCCAAGAGCTCCAGGCACACACCCAGCCAGGCTTAGAGACACACAGAGGCACACCCGTGCAACCAGACACACACATAAATACAAAGGTACACCCATGCAACCAGACACACACACACGCACACACACACACACACATACACAAATACAAAGCACTCAGACACATAAATACCAGATGCCCTCATGAACACAGGTACATGTGTGCTCACAGGTCCCTCTGCTCTGGTTCCTTCCCTGCATCAAGTATGGAAATACTGCAAGAGGCTGGGTCATAGCATAGAGGTGGGCAAAGATGGTCAGCTAACAAAACTGGGCCTTGTCTAACTCTACTCTCCAAGTGGAAGGAAACCCCAAGGGAGCACCGCACCCCTTGGGCAGAGGAGCTGGGCTGTGTGAAGGAGTGGTGCAGTCTGCCTGCCCACGTCACCCCAGGCCAGGCCCCTTAGTGCGGGGGGTGGTCCTAGAGAGCAGGCTGGGGGCCTGCCCCTCTGGTTTAATCAACGATCCTGCCTGAGGTCTCAGGACTCCGTGCTTCGGCTGCCCCTGGGCCCCTTGCCACTGCCCCGCTGAGGAGGCAGCAGAGAGGGGCGGACTCAGAGGAGGGGAGGGGAGCAAGAACAACAGCAGAAGAATCTCATCTGTACAGTACGGGCCGTTTGAGTCATTATTATTACAATATACTTTGACAAAAATAGAATCTCATTTCATATCAATACAACAACAACAACAAAAAACAGTTTCCTGGACTGTTACACCGCTAACATTTTCCAAAGGTCGCTATTTACAATTACAGTAGCCAAGAGGGAAGGTGGGATGCGGCCTGGAGGTGGTGGGACAAGGAGGTAGCCAGAGACAATGGGGCACCAAGAGCAAGGAGGTGGGGTCAGGAGCAGAAGGAGCTAACAGGAGAAGCTAGGGAGAGGGGCCGAGGCAGAATGAGGGAGGTGGGCCCTCCACGGACCTCGCACCCCGCAGACCATCCCAGTGTCCACTCCCCCAGGTAGTGTGCGTGCAAGGCCAAGGACATCCCCTCACCACACTTGCCCAATGAAAGAGCTCTGGCCTGGATCACCCCAGGGAGGTCCAGGCCGACTCTCACCCCAAGCCACCTCACTGAAGACCCTCTCCCCATTCTCCCTGCACATTGTGGCCAGCTTTACAGGGCTGGCATCAAACGAGGGGCGGGGAGCTATTGCACTGTATATCTTAGAGAAAAGCTGGGGAAGGAGGGGCCCGATTTGCCCCCTGCCTAGCCCTTCTGCCCTCCGCAGCCCTCTCCTCATGGCTCTGTCTTTCTCTCCAAATGTGCTTCCAGAGAGGCCCTCACCTCGAACCCGTTCCCCAGCCTCAGATTCCCCAGGCTGCCTTCCCAGCCCAAAGCTCAGCCAGCACCCACACACCTTGGGGGTGCAGCACACACAAGAATCAGCACAGGTATGGCACGTGTGTGCAGGGCATTTGGGGGCCAGGCTTCAGTATTCTGCTCCATGTGCCTCTGGCCACATGAACCCAGAAACAGAGACCCTTTTCAGAACCTCTGCCTCACTTTCCCCTTGAGACACAAACCCACCCGTAAAGCCCACTTTAGGGTTTCAGTCTATAGTGTGGGTTTTTTTTTTTGTTGTTTGGTAGTTTTTTGGTTATTTCCCTCTATCTGGGGAGATGGGGTGGGAGGGCTCCACATGCAGGGCTCGGCACCTGTCCTGTCCCAAAGGCCTATCGGGCCCCGCACCCCCTTCCTGCAGCATATGTGTACAACGTGCAAAGTGTCCCCCCTTCCCGCGAAAAACAGAGCCCCCCCAGCCAGTGAAAATGGTGGGGGGGACAGAAAGAGGGGATGAGAGCATCCCCCTCTCCAAAGCGAGAATCCAAATTAAAAAAAATATAATAATAATAATAATAATATAATAATAATTATACACAAATGTAACCGTCAACAGGACATGGAGCACAAGAAAGGAGGTGGGGGTCGAGCGGGAGGAGCCCGGGGCAGGGAAGGGCGGGCGGTGAGATTGTCAACTCTTCATCAGGGAGGCTGAGAGGAGGGGAGTGGGAACCGTCACTTTAATGTCTGTGAAGAGAGGAGATGGAGAAGGGGGTATGAGGGGGTGGCCCAGGCTATGGGTGTGCACCCCCCACTCCCCTTTCCCCATAGGGCCGGGATTCTAGTGGCAGGGCCAGCTGTGGGGGAGGGGAAGTCATCGAGCAGAGGGACTGATGCTGGAGGGAGGGAGAAGATGGGCCTTGGGCAGGGGTGAAGGGGTGTTGGTGCTGCCCTAGAAGGACTGGCGAAGGGCTAGTGGGCCACAAGTCCTCTTGGGTGGGAAACAAAACAGGATGGGGGCACGCAGGGCAGTCCCTGGGTGTAGCAGACACTGGCAGACAGGAGAGGTGATGCTACAGTACCCAGGTATCGAGCCGCATCCTCTTCACAGCTGAGCCCTCAGCCTCAGGCTCTGCGGCTGGGCGCAGCAGGCCCAGTGTGGGCCCGAAGTCCCCCCGTCCGTCATCCCGGTCCCCCGTCTCATAGGATCCCCCGGCCGGGCTGCTGAGACCATCGCCAGGCTCAGGGCGGGCAGCTGGGAACACAGCTGGAGGGGGAGGCGCAGGGCTGCGCTCACGGCTTGGGGACACCGGTTCTGACTTGATGCTGATGTGGGGGTGGGTGGTGACTGTGAGAGCAGCACCCACGTGGGGCAGGGGGCTGCCCGGGCTGGAGGCAGGCAGTGGAAATGGGGTACAAGGGACAGAAACAGAGGGGGTGAGTGACAGAACAAGTGACAGGAGGATACCAGACAGAAAGTGAGAGAGAATGGAGGATAAGAATATGGTGGATGGGGTGTGGGGGAGAGGCAATTGGATGGACAGAGATCAGAAGAGGGTTGAATGAAGGGAAGAGAAGGGAAATAAGAAATATTAGTTCTCTTTCCATCCCGTGTCATCTTCTGCAATCCAGGGCTCCCCCACCTCCCACCCTCTACCCTTGGGCTAGCTCATGGAAGGGGCTCAGGGTGAGCCTCCTCGGCATGTACAAGAGACCCCAGTGCTGCCACTATTGCCTAACAGACTGCGCAGTGCACATCCTCACAGGATGTCCGCTAGAAACCTGCAGGGAACCCTGCTCCCCAGAGGCCCCTCCTCTTCCTGCTCCTCAATTCTCCCTTCCCACACACTCACATGGAGTCTCCCCAGGACTCACATGAGGTTGCTGAGAGATACAGGGACCAGGTGGGACTGTGGCTGAGGTGGCTGTTGCGGCTGCTGAGGCTGCTGTGGCTGTGGCTGCTGTGGCTGCGGCGGCTGCTGCTGTGGAGGCTGTGGCTGCTGCGGCTGCTGGGGCTGCTGTGGCTGCTGCCAGGCGGTGACATTGCCTAGCGACAGCCCCCCAGGTGAACTGAAGGCTGGTAAGGAGGAGAGCTCTGCACTGGTCAACTGGTAATCTGCATGGAGGAAAAGTGAGGATGAACCTGGAGTTCGGGGACAGCACACAGGCTCCTATGAGGGAGCTGCCTCCAGGAGGACTGTGGGGTTGAGGGGACAGGGAGTATGTAATGACAGATGTAAAGAATTCAAGAAGACCATAAAAATTCAGTGACGATGGTACTCAGAGTTGAAGAAACCTAAGTCATAATAACTATGAGGTGCTGTTTTTTAACAGGATGAAAAGTTGTGGTTTTTGTTTTGTTCTCTTTTTTGAGATGGAGCCTCAATCTGCTGCCCAGGCTGGAGTGCAGTGGCATGATCTTGGCTCACTACAACCTCTGCCTCCCAGGTTCAAGTGAATCTCTTGCCTCAGCCTCTTGAGTAGCTGGGATGACAGGCATGCATCACCACGCCCAACTAATTTTTGTATTTTTAGTAGAGATGGGGTTTTACTATGTTGGCCAGGCTAGTCTCAAACTCCTGACCTCAAGTGATCTGCCTCTCTCAGCCTCCCAAAGTGCTGAGATTACAGGCATGAGCCACTGCGTCCGACCAAAGGGTTTTAAAAATATCTGGGTGTGTGACTTATGTCTGTAATCCCAGCACTTTGGGAGGTCAAGGTGGAAGGATCACTTGAGCCCAGAGTTTGAGACCCGTCTGGGCAACATAGGGAAACTCCATCTCAACAAGTAACTTAAAAATTCACTAGGTATGGGGCTGGGCATGATGGCTCACGCCTGTAATCCAAGCACTTTGAAGGCCAAGGTGGGCGGATCACCTGAGGACAGGAGTTCAAGACCAGCCTGACCAACATGGTGAAACCCCGTCTTAAAAAAAAAAGAAAGAAAAGAAAATCGTTATTTTAAAATATATTTTTTTAAATTAAAAAAAAATTTTTGCTAGGTGTGGCGGCATGCACCTGTAGTCCCAGCTACTCAGGGGGCTTAGGCAGGAGACTTGCTTGAACCTGAGGAGGTTGACCCTGCAGTGAGCTATGATCATGCCACTGCACTCTAGCCTGTGGGACCCTGTCTCAAAAAAAAAAAAAAAAAAAAAAAAAATCATAAGTAACACTTTCATAATAACAATTTTTTTTTTTTTAGAGACAGGGTTTCACCATGTTGGTTAGGCTGGTCTCGAACTCCTGACCTCAGGTGATCCACCTGTCTCGGCCTCCCAAAGTGCTGGGATTGCAAGCATGAGCTACCATGCCCAGCCTTATAATAACAGTTTTAAAAAGGAAAAAGATTGGGGAGGAGAAAGGAAAGTAGAGAAGGTCTACATCTAACTGTCATCTTTTCACCTGCCAAGTCTCCAATTGCCTTTTTTTGGGGGGGGGTTAGTCTCTGTAGAGACTGTCAGAAACTGCCCATGCCAATTATATTTCAAGTCATCATGGTGGGTATTGGTAAAATTTTCAGTTAGCAACTATTATACCTTGGATAAGCCTCATTGGCTATGATACCCCATTGCCCAAAGCTCCAATCACCTTTCTTTCTTTTTTTTTCATTTTGAGATGTAGTTTCGCTCTTGTTGCCCAGGCTAGAGTTCAATAGCATAATCTTGGCTCACCGCAACCTCTTCCTCCCAGGTTCAAGCAATTCTCATGCCTCAGCCTCCCGAGTAGCTAGGATTACAGGCACATACCACCATGCCTGACTAATTTTTATTTTTTTAGTAGAGACAGGGTTTTTCCGTGTTGGTCAGCTGGTCTCAAACTCCCGACCTCAGGTGATCCACCCACCTCGGCCTCCCAAAGTGCTGGGATTACAGGTGTGAGCCACCACCCTTGGCCTTCCAATTGCGTTTCTAAGGTAGTGGGGAGCCCTGGTAAAAGCTTGGTGGATAGGGCTTCAGAGGCAAATCACTGCAACTACCATTCCACCTATGGCACAGCCCCCAAGCCTCCTTGACTGTCAATACCTAAAATTTATAGCAGCAGGGTTTGAGCTGCTGTGCCCACACACATAAACACAGAGAACACAGGCTGGGCACGGTGGCTCATGCCTGTAACCCTAGCACTTTGGGAGGCTGAGGTGAGTGAATCACGAGGTCAGAAGTTTGAGACCAGCCTGGCCAACATGGTGAAACCCCATCTCTACTAAAAATACAAAAAAAATTAGCCGGGCATGGTGGCATGTGCCTGTAGTCCCAGCTACTCAGGAGGCTGAGGCGGGAGAATTGCCTGAGGCTGCAGTGAGCCAAGATTGTACCACTGCACTCCAGCCTGGGCAACAGCGATGAAAAAAAAAAAAAATACGGAGGAATACAAGTTAGCCCCTGAGGCCTCATGCACATGGGGTAGAGGGGCTGCAAGGGCACATACAGCTGGGGGCACAGCTGGCCAAGGTTCTAGCAGGTCTCCCAATGAGGGGCACTCATTAATTCATAAAATGTCTACCTGAAAGAACAAACTGACCTTTGCACTGTCACAGAATAAATAGGATCATGGAATGTTTCACGATTTACACAGCATTGTTATGTTTCATGCTGTATCCTGTTTGGGGCAGTTTAGAAAATGTCCTCCCTAATTCAAGACCAGCTTGGCCAATATGGTGAAACCCCGTCTCTATTAAAAAATTAGCCAGGCGTGGTGGCACGCACCTGTAATCCCAGCTACTTGGAAGGCTGAGGCAGATAAATCACTTGAACCTGGGAGGTGGAGGCTGCAGTGAGCAGAGATCACACCACTGCACTCCAGCCATGGCAACAGAGTGAGACTCTGTTTAAAAAAAAGAAAGAAAGAAAATGTTCTCCCTGAGGCTGCATTGTGGTAGTGGGAGTGCTGTGATGGGAATGCATCCTTCAACCATCCCAACACCCACCACTACGCTATTACTCAGGGAGTCATTTGCTCTGGCACTCTGTTTTTATGCAGGGAAGATAGCATTCTCTCTGCAATACGGCAGTAAGGTTAAAGGCGTGAGCGATGAGGTCAAACTTCCGGTCTACCTCCACTTAGGCCGTGTGACCTTGGGCAAGTTACTGACTTTGCCTATAAACTGGAGGTAATAATCCTACCTACAAAACAGCTGTTGTGAGGACTCAGCAAGTTCATACACAGAAAGCAGGTACAACAGTGCCTGGTTCACAGAAAAATAATCCAAAGATTGACCTGTTACTACTTTACAAATGAGGCAACTGCAGCCTCGGGTTTGAGGAACAGGCTCCAGGTCATGGAGATTGGAGAAAGCCAGTGGCAGAGCTAAGACAGGAGCCCAGGACTCCATTACCTTTAAATCACACTCTAGAGCAGTCTGTGCTTGGCTCTAGTATCCTCACGTGGGCCAGGACTTTTGCTTATATTTAAAAAGCAAGCAAGGGCAGAAATGAGCCCTACAGTCAACTACTTCTTTCTTCTCTCTTTTTTTTTTTACACTCAAGACTTGCCATCCAGTAACAGAGTCAACTATTTCTAACACTTGTTCTACAAACTAGGAAGCCAGGCCCAGAACAGTGCAGTGCCTTGCCTAAGGTCCCTCAGTGAGTGAGTGGTGGAGACTGACGCCCAGCCCTACACTGTCCCACCAGATTCTAGCCCTATCTACTGGGAGGCTTGGCTCCCCAGGGCCAGGAAGAACATGGCCCCCAGGCCACCTGGCAGCCAACTGGTCTGCTCCCAGAGCCACCACAGCCAGGCCTATGCAGCCAGTGTCAACAAGGGACCAGGCTCTTACACGAGGCATTACCATAGTCCCATTACCCCCAGCCGGAACTTGAACTGCAGCCAAGGACTGTAAACAGTGAACAACTAAACAGCAATGTGTTCACTGGGGTGTTGTTTATACACCTAGGGTCACCTGAAAACACCTGGTGTTTAAACTGAGATCTGCTTAGCTGCTTCTGCAGCAAAAGGAGAGGGAGCCTTTGCTCTCTGAGAGTTGATAAGAAACCTCAGACACTTCCCAGCAGGACTCCAAGGGTGGCCTAGGGGTGGAAACTGCTTTCAGGCCAAAGTGACAGATGAGAATCTTTAAGTCTAACCTTCCTGAGTGCCTATCCCAGGTTGGCTAACACCAACTAACTTTCCTCCTGCTTCACAAAGACCGTGGGCCCAAGAATAAGGCAGAAAAACAGAACCCCCCCGCCCCCCACCATAATAAACAGCTCCAGAAAAGTGGTCTAAAAGGTTGTCTGAGCTGCCCTCCACCAACTGTCCCTGTCCCCAGCCCACCCCACTCTCAGGGCTAGTTTTTCTGGTTGGACCCCAGAGCCCCAGTGGCAGGGCTGGAAAAGCCTCATAGACCTCCTGTCTACCCACTCCTCTTACAGATGGGGAGACGAGCCGACAGGGTGTGTCTTCTGAAGCAGCCGTCTCTAAAGCTGCCAGGACATAGTAGCCTGGGGCTGGGCACACACATGGGTGCACATGCAAGGGAGAAGGGGTGCACAGACACCTGGGTGGTAACTACACACAGACACACAAGCCAGAGTCTGGTTCCTGAACACGAGGCAGTCCTTCCAGCTGTCTTACCAGCCATGAGGGGCTTTGCTATAAAGAGGGGCTGGGTTCTGGATTTTTACACATGGGGAGGAGGTGGGATTTGGTGGGTATTTGCACTGGTGTCTGGTACCTAGCATGGTTCAACTCTAGGAGGCTTGGGGAAGGGGGAGAGGTTTATGGGTCTTTTGGTCCAGACTAAACTCTTCATAGGAATTGGCCTGACAAAATCATTCACATGTGAGAGAACCTGGGGAAGGCAGAGGTCTCTATCTGGAAACAGCCCAGGCTCCCCAGCCACATGAATGCTCTGGAACAAGGGGACAAGGAGGTTCCTCCTTGGCAAGTCCTTCCTAACACAGTGGCTCAGAGTTCAGGCAAGGATGGCTGAGTGTCACAGACTGTTTCTGGGCAGGTGTGAGTATGTGACACAGGCCAGGATGGTGCTGCGGACTCAGGACAGCCTGGGCACTGGGTGTCCTATCTGAATTCTTGTATCCAGAGGCCTTTCTCATGTCCTCAAGTGACTCTTTACCTTCAGATCCCACTCTCCAACTTTTCTCCCTCATCATTCTACCACCATGCCAAAATTAAACGAGAGACCCTCTTCCTCCCCCTCTGCCTTGCCCTGGAACCCCCAGTTGGCTTTCCCAAGAAGCTGGCAAACTGACCCTGACTGTGCTTTCTCTCTGGGCTCCTCAGCCTCCCTGTCTTTTCTCTCCCTCATTCCTTCATTCTCTTCCAGGAAGCCTTTCTGAACTGACCACGTTCCCTTCACCACTCCCCGGACCTGGAGCCTAGAGACTGGTCAGGCCGAAGCACCTGCTCACCTGCCCCTGTCCTGTCTTCTCCTCAGGCTGGAGGCTTTCTGAAGACAGGGGGTCCCTCCTCCATTAGGTACTATTTTTAAAACAGACAATGCTGGCCAGGCATGGTGGCTCACACCTGTAATCCCAGCACTCTGGTGGATCACTTGAGCTCAGGAGTTTGAGACCAGCCCAGACCACATGGTGAAACCCTGTCTCTACTAAAAATACAAAAATTAGCTGGGTATGGTGGCATGTGCCTGTAATCCCAGCTACTCAGGAGGCTGAGGCAGGAGAATCACTTGAACCCAGGAGGCGGAGGTTACAGTGAACCAAGGTCCCACCACTGTAATCTAGTCTGGGTGACAGAGCGAGACTCTCAAAAACAAAAAAAAAACCCCCGTCACAATGCCTAGTTAAATGTGGATTTCAGATGAAACAAAAGCATGATTTGTTAGCACAAGTATATCTTTGGTTCTGGGCACAGTTGGTAACAGCACTTTGGGAGAGTGAGGCAGGAGGACTGCTTCAAACTGGGAATTTGAGACTAGCCTAGACAACACACAGAGACCCTGTCTGTACAGAAAAATTTAAAATAAAGCCAGGTATGGGGTATGTGCCTGTACTCCCAACTACTCAGGAGGCTGAGGCAGGAGGATCACTTAAGTCCAGGAGTTCAAGGCTGTAGTGAGCTATGATGGCACCATTGCACTCCAGTCTGGGTGACAGAGTGAAACCCTGTCTCAAAACAAAAAAACAAAACCCCTAAAATTAAATATGCCGTTGGGACATACATTAGTAGAAGAATGTCTTTGGGACATATTGGTACTAAAAAACTACTTGTTTTATCTGAAATTTAAAGGCATTCTGTGCTTTTATTTGCTAAATCTGTTTACCATAATCAGGTGAGGGCTCCCCCAAATCAATGGCCCTCCTCAGCTGGGGCCTATCCAGGGGATATATAGCATTTCTGCCTGGTCACTTGCCAGCCCCAAGCCCAAGTGCACACATGCACATGTCACATGAACACTCACCTGTGTTGTAGGCAGTGGGCATGGAAGAGAAGGGGAGGCCCTGGCTGAGTAAACTCGGCGTTGCCACAGAAACCACTGGGGTGGTGAGCGAATGGGTAGACTGGGAGACCCCAAGGCGCTGGGCATTGTTCTGCAGGAGAAAACCATCTGTCAGGTGGCGGCTGATAGGTGGGCAGCCTTATGCTGGCCCTCCATCCCAAGCCGAAGGTGGGGTCCCTGAATCCAAAGCCAAGGTGGGGTGCCTTAGCACGGAGGCCCCCCCAGACACACAAACACACATTGGTGCATTCACAGAGACACTCAGATCCACGGAGAGAAACATGCACACACACATTCACTGACACCAACACACGTGCAAAGATGAAAGCACGTGTGCCGGCCCTGTGGCCTCAGCCCCAACATTCGCCCAGCCTCCCAGTGCAGAGCGAGGGAAGGGAGACATCGTCCATCCCGTCCCTCAGGAGCCCACTCTCCATCCTTCACACTGCTGCACGCGCCCCGGCAGAGGCGTGCTGGCATCTGTGAGGGGAATGTGGGGCCTGGCGTGGCGTGTGCCTGCGCGTATGCACACACGTGTGTGGGGCTGTCAGCTCCATCTGCCGCTGAGTCACTTGTTTATTCCAACTCCACGCTGGGGCCGAAACTGCCGCCGTGTTGGCCGCCAAAGCCTGCCTGCCTTTTCCAGCCTCTCTGGCCTCCCGTCAGGGAGTTGGGGAGGGAGGAGCCCCCGCCCCACTCCTGGCTGGTGGTGAGTATGTAAGTGTGTGAGAGGAGGAAAATGAGCAGCTGTGCCTGCCTCTGAGTGCCCATGCCATGGGGTAAGTACAGGAGGGAGCATGGGGACACGAGGGAGGTGGGAAGCCCCACCAAGAAGGACAAGTCCAGCCTAGGCCTGGGCTTCGGCTTCCCCTGAAACACCGACTTCACCATCCAGCTGGCCTCCCTCCTAAGGAGGATCCTGTCCTAGATCCCAAGAATGCAGTGTGAGCCTGAGTGGAGTCAGAGGACTATGGGATCCAGTCCCCGTGTCCAAGGCCTAGTCTAGGCATCTGGGTGGGACCTCTTGAGTCTGGCCCACTCCCCCTTGCACACGTACATACACACAGAAGAAGGTGTGTCTGAATGAATGTAACACCACATGCAGACATTCACGTACACACAGGCACACACACGCATGTCTGACCTCTCACCCCCGCCCCCTATACCTCTGAATCCCACTTGGCACTAAGCACAGCTCCTGGCAACTAAGCAAAGAAACAGCAACAGTCCACAAACAGGCGAGAGGCCAAGGACGCACATGTACTTCATGCTGGGGGACTACAGAGCAATACCCAGAATTCAAAGCCACAGCAAACAGCTCATAGCCTCACTTACCAGATCTAAATGGTCCTCAGTCTGAGAGCAGAAACAAAACCAAGGGGATGTTCAGTCTCTGATCTCTGCCCTACACCACACCTCTGTCCCACAGCCATTCCATCCACCTCTCTGCATAAGAGTAGGATGGCTCTACCCAGCCTACAAAGGCAGAGCTCTTCACTGTCCTGACTGATTTCCAGAGCTGCTCCATCCCAATCTCCACCAGTTAGGAAATGCTCACCATCTAATCTCCATCCCTCCTGCTGAAGTGACAAATCCTTTCTATGATCTTCCCCATCACAGAACCTTCTCTCTCACCTCCTGTCCCTTTTTACTGCCTTTGGCTGATACTTCTTATGTTGCAACCTCTTAAAAGGCCCTCTGGGAAGAGCGAGCTCATAAAAAGCCATGCTTCCATGATCCCTCTTGGGAAGTCCTAACTGCTGGCTAGCCTTCATCTCTTCCGCTAGAGGTCTGCTCTTTCCCCTGTCCCTACTCTTCCATTCCCCAGCCCCTGCCCTTGGCCCAGACACCCACTTACCAAGTGATGCATTAACCCCTTTCCTGCCTGGGAAGTGATGACTCGAAGGTCGGGCTTGCGGCTGGGGGCTCCAAGCTGGGTGCTGTGGGTGGGCGGGGGTGGAGACTTGGCAGGGATGACCTTGTTTAGGCTGTTGCCATTGGCCACAGGGAGGAGGCCAGGGGAAGCCCGGGCACTGACGTAGCCATTCCCTGGAGAAGTGACAACACGAGGGTAAAAGGAAAAACATGGGCCTACCCTTCATCCCTGTTAACTTCCCCACACCAATACTCCTGTCACCCGGAACCTCTCAAAGCCATGCTTAAGGCTTTGAGTGGGGGCTGAGCTATCGGATGTTCCCCAAATACTTCATGTCTTGGGAATAATGGGAGGCGAGTACCCCTTACTCCTGAATCTTTAGGTTCATTCCTCTAACTGCAAGCTACATGTGATGGGGCTTGGTGACGGGACTCAGGTCAGTGGGAAGAAGTGAAAAGCAACCACTGCCTCTAGGCTCTGTGATGACCAAGCCTCTCCCTGTCCTCTCTGTTCTTTGGTCTTCACAGGCAGGAAGTCTAGCATTTTCAGATCCCACAGTCTGCCCCAGACAGGACCCACCATGACCCGGATGTGGAAGGGGTGGCAGCCTGGAATCCGGGCCTCAGTGAGAAGCCTGGTCACCATGACAAATCAACAACCGCTCAGACTGCTCCACGTGCTGTGACAGTGGTCGATGTGATTTGGATCAACATGTGACAAGCTGCCCACAGCTTGGGGGAAACAGGCCATTCACTGTTGGTGATGGTATTATTGGCGCTGGGAGACAGATAACAGAGCCACCACCATAATTAGCCTGGTAATAACAAATGTAATAACTATCTTTTATATCTGCTCCACACTCTACAACCCACACAAGTCTTTCACACATGTATTATCTTATTTAATCCTCACATTAACTCTGCAAGACAGACAGGACATTAGCCCTGTTCACAGAAGAGGAAACTAGAGCCTGCTTGGGAGAAGTGTAACGACTTGCCCAGGGCCACACTGCTGGCTGGAGGCCAAGCAAGGGCTCTCGGCCACTTTCCGCATGCTGGACTTTTGTATCACTGCTCCCTTAAGGTCTACAAGCATTTCTCTGGCCCTCTCCTTGAAGGAGACATATTCACTGCTCCTTTAATTTCCTGCTTCTATGACCCAATTATCACCAGGGAGGGATTACATAGTACCCCCAAATGGGGTATGCTGAGGTATACCCCCAAATGGGGCTGGGGTATGCCGAGGTCCAAGGATGTGAGGGGGACTGCAGTCGGAAATGCCTCCTTGCTCTGTCCCCTAAGAGCACGCTGCTGCCCTGGAAGCGTGTGCCAGCCTCCATCCCAATTCCCGGATCACTCTGGGAATGGCAGGAATGTCAGGGTGACGTCAATTGTGACATTCGAAGTCACAGTCACCCAGCCGGACAACAGCACAGGGCAAGAGGGGCTGTTGCTGCCAGGCAGCCTTTCTTCTGTGGCTTTTTGAGATGGAGTTTCACTCTTGTTGCCCAGCCTGGAGTGCAAGGGTGTGATCTCAGCTCACTGTAACCTCCACCTCCTGGGTACAAGCGATTCTCCTTCCTCAGCCTCCCAAGTAGCTAGGATGCGTACCATGCCTCGCTAATTTTGTATTTTTAGTAGAGATGGGGTTTCTCCATGTTGGTCAGGCTGGTCTCAAACTCCTGATCTCAGGTGATCCATCTGCCTCGGCCTCCCAAAGTGCTGGGATTACAGGCATGAGCCACTGTGCCCAGCTGCTTCTGTGGCTTATGTATGTGTGCTCACATGTGCACATCTAACATCTGGGTACTTCTGTCAGAGGGAGAATGCACGTGTGTGTGTGAGTGCCTGTGTGAGTGTCTATGTGAGTCTGCCCCTATCGTTTGTCTAGGCAATGCCTGGCATTCTCATCCTTCAGATCCCAACCAGATACTCGCACTCAACTGTAAAAAAAACTTGGGTCTTCCCCTCCAACTAGAAATGCTGGCCCATTTTCTCACGGTTTGCTCAGAATTCTCTGAGCCTCCATCTCTGCCGATCATCCACACCAATCATTGCTACAGAAAACAAAATCCAGGGGCTTAAAAATGTCTGACTCGTCCTCCAGTTCTGGCCCTGGGATCTTCCTCTCATCTAGGTTCCTTCCTGGTCCTTGGACCCCCTGTTGCCACTGAGCAGTTACCCTTCCCCACCTCCAGGTAGAAGGATGGCTGCACTCACCAACAGGGCTGGGGCAGGCTCCGTTAGCACTGTTCAGGTCACCCCCCAGCATGGCCCCTGGAGGAAAAACAGAACCAGGATGAGCTGACAGCACTCCCCCTTTGACAGTGAGTCTTGGGGACTGAACACAAAGAGGGGACCCCAGGAGGAGGAAGAGTCATATTCCCTTCCCTCAGGAGCCACACAAATGGGGGGATGCTGTGGTAGGTGAAGAGAGATACTCGCCACTGAAAATGGAACCCCAAAGACCCCATCACATCTCATTTCCACCTCACGTGCCCATCTACCAGCCCACTCACCTGCACTAGCTGGCCGCTGGGGCAGGCCAGGAGACACACTGTTCCTCTGTAGTGCTGGCTGCTGGGGGGACAGGAGCCGCGGGTCTGTGAGGGATGATGTCACCAGGGAAGGGGTGACCAGGGAGCCGCTGGGATTGCTGAACTGCAGTGAGCTCTGATTGGACACGGGCACCGTGACAGGCATGGCAAAGTTGGGGGCCGGGACAGCTGACTAGACAGAAAGATGGAGGGGCAGGATCAGGCCAGGTTGACTCCTTCCATGGAGCCCACTTTTCCTGGGAGGGCAGGCAAGGGTTCTTCTCATTTCTGGGCTACACATCCTGGGGCCAGCAGCTCAAGCTCCCTGCCCGGTGCCCTTGCAGAATCCTGCCCGCCACTCCCACCAAGGAAGAACTCTGAGACCTTTTCTGGCCCAGAGAATGAGAAGAGGGCTCTCTGCTCACTGCAGACAGGACCAGGGACACCCCCTAGTGGAGGTGGGTTAGTCCTCAGCCAGGCAGGACACACGGGGAGCAGGTTAGACGTCCTGAGAACAGACCCAAATTCACACACACAGAGCTGTTAAAGGCTTGTGCCATGGGTCGGGACATCACTTCACTTGCAGTCTCTCACCCATCTGGCCAGCTGCAGCGAGAGCCCACCCCCACCTCACTGCCTTCCCCTTCAGCAGTTCTGCTTTCCCTACACAAGACTGAGCGTCTCCGCTTGGGCTATCAGAGCAGGCCCAGGCGGGCCTCTCCCCCAAAAAGCATCTGGACAAAGAGCACACTCCACTTTCCTGTCCTCTAAGGATCTCATGTCATCTACACACTTCTTGCTGGAGAGGGGGACACTCCAGCCTCTCCAACTTATGCTCCATTCCAGTTGAGTCTCAGCAAGGGATGCAGGTTTATCATGACCAAGGTGAGAGGTTCCTTAGTGGTCACTGGGAACCCGAGCATGGCTCAGAGCGGAGCACCCATCGGGGCAGCCGAGAGCCAGGGCGCGAAGCCACACCATGCACCACAGGGAGGCTCTGCTCCATGCGACTACTCACGGCCAGTCTATAACTCTGCATCATTTTATCAAACTCCTCGTCTATCTTTTTATATTTCTCTTCCGTCTGGGGGGTCAGGGCAAACACCTCGTCCACCTCAGGGCTCTCACATTCCCTGTGCTTCTTGTGCAGCGCCTGGGGGGAAGGGGCCGGAAGGGGGGGCCGACAGAGACAGAGTGAGTGGGGCTCACCCCATAGCGCCGGAAGAGCCCGTCGAGCTCCTCGCTGGCGCGCCGGTACTTGTCCTCCAGCAGGGGGCTCTGTTCCAGCGAGTCCTCCCCGTCGGGCTCCGGGCTGTCGCAGCCGTTGAAGCCCTTCTTCCTCAGGGTCTGTAACCGCACCACTGCCATCAGCTGGGTGAAAGTCCTTCCAGCCCCTCCCTAAGGGCCCCCTACTCTTCCCCACCCTCCTTCCTCAGGGTTCCCAGCATCTCCCTGGCCCCTCCCTCAATGTCACCTGCCCCTCCCCACTGACAGTGCCTCCTGGGGCACTGTGGGAAGATGGGCTTGGTGGGAGCCATCGGAACACGGAGAACAAGGCTGGAAGGTGGGCCTAACCTGCGGGTGCACTTGGCAGGGAGACATGTACTTCCAAAGGGACAGGCAGGGAGGGGGTTTCCAGGGGATGGGCTAAGGGGCTGGTGCCCTGGGCCAGTCCCTGCCTGACTGCCCTGCGGTGAACCCTGGCCAGAAGGCACTGAGTTCTCCAGGGGGAGGGAGGTAGGGGACTCTGCTAGAAGAAGAGGAGGGAGAGAGAAACAGATGGAGACAGCACGTAGAATGGGATGTGGAAAAGGAAAGGGGGATGAACATGGACCGAGTCCCTACTGTGACCACCCCATACTCCGGTGGAGGCACAGCTGGGGGGTCTGCAGTACATCCCAAAGCTGCCTTCTTCATGCTCAAAATATCTCTACAGCTACTTGCTTTGTCTTTAAAATGAATGCAAATTTTACCTTCCAGTCTACAGTCAATCTGTCTTGTCCAACATAAAAATAAGGGACTTTCCTACAAATCTGAGTAGGTCTGTGGCTTCCCGGACACCCTCTTCATCAGCACAAGTTGGGTACCCCCAAGGTGCACACACCTCAGTGTGAGAAGCAGGGACATTCAATTCACACAGCACCCTTCAAAGCCAGCCTTGGCCCCGTTTTGTGGAGCTGGGCACCAAGGTTCGGGAAGGCCTAAGCACCTGCCCAAGGCCATATGGCCAGTAAAGGTCAGAGCTGAATTCCAAGGCCTATGTCCTTCAACAGTTCACAATGTTGGCTCTCTTTGAAACAGAAAATAGAACCACCGGGCCCACAAACAGACAGAGACAGCAGGAGAGATGGAAACAAAGAAGGAGATTTAAAAAAGGAAGAGGCAGGTGCAGGAGCACACCAAAAGATGGAGAAGGGGGAAAAGAGAGAGAGAGAGAAAGACAGGATGCAAGAAGGCTGGGCAGAGATGTTACATCACGCCGGACGACAGAAAACAGACTCTCGGAGAGGGCAGGATGGGTGTGGGCTGGCAGCTTGGCACTGGCCTGTTCACCTGAACTGCCCTTCCTTCCTCCTCAGGCCCTGGGTTTGTGTGACAGGAGGAGGGTTTGTATGTGTGTGCACACAGGTGAGGGGCTACAGGGGCATGTATACTGGTGTGTGTGCACAGGCAGGTCTGCGTGTACACACAGCACGTCCACGTGGATGCAGGCAGGGGTGTCCCGGTGCCGGTGTGTGTGGCCCACCTCGATGATGTCCGCGTTGGTGCGGCTCTCGTGCGGCTCGTTGTACTCCGTGTACTTGAGCAGCACCTTGTCCATGTCGGTGCTGGCGTACTGGAACAGCTTGTTGGAGTGGTTGAAGATGATGAGTGCGATCTCGCAGTCGCACAGCACGCTCAGCTCATACGCCTTCTTCATCAGGCCGAACTTCCGCTTGGTGAAAGTCACCTGCAGAGAAGGATGAGTGGGCAGCCAGGTCTGCCTCAGTCAAGGCCTGATTGGGAGTCCCAGCCTACAGATGGCTGGACATAGCCCCTGCCCTCAGGAGCCCCCATTCTCAGGGTGACACAGCCCTTGGTCTCAGGAGTCCCTGGTTTGGGGAAGGACCAGGCTAGTACTTGTAAGAGATACAGCCCAGAGCCCACTCACTGAAGGGGCAGGATTCAGGTGGATAAACTCCATGCCTCTATGCTGGAGGCTATGAAGAGGTCAGTGGAGAAGAAGAGGGGAAGCTTTCCTGTTGGGAAAGGGGGAGTGCCTTAGGTTGACCTAAGGCTTGCATATGGAGAACACAGGCTCATCTGGCTACAGCAGCAGATGAGCCTTGGAGTCCTGGGACAGTTTCAAGAGCTGCAAAGAGGTTGGGGTTCCTCTTCTCCCCATCTTCCTTCCCCTTCTGTAATAGCTTATGGAGTTTCCCCCTCTTCCACAAGCCCTCTTGGAATGCCTGGAAGGAGCCCAGGCGAGGCCCGAGCCCTGCCCTCACCCACTTCGTGTGGCTCTAGGACTTCCCTACCTGTCGGTTCCGCTCATCGGTGATTCGCTGGATCTGAATCTTTTTCCTCCCCATCTTCTCCGGGGGTCCTCAGTGCTATGGAGGGGAGGGGCTTGCTGGGTGGTGGGTCTCGGCACACCTTACACTGTGCTCATGAACAGTCTGGGAACAGTGCTCAGTTCATGGTCTGCAGGATACCTTCTGCACAGCCTCCTGGAAGGGGAGGGTCATGAGAGGACGCTGAGCCCCCACAACCCCCAGACCTGCTCCTTGGGCACAGAGGCCAGGCTCACCGCACCCCTGTGAGAGGCTAGCAGCATCTGAGCTCCACCCTCAAAATGAGGCAATGCTGTCTGCCTGAGGCGGTGGTATGCCACAGCCAGGCATAAGTTGGAGCTCACACCAAGGCCCAGGCTCTTTCCCCTTGGTCACTGCTGTCCTCAGGCTCCAGGTCAGAGTAAGTGACCTCCTGGCTTCCAAGGGTCTGGCGCTTAGGGAATATCCCATGGCCCATTCTTCTCTCTAGAACCCGCCTGTAGCACAGACACCGGGGTGCTCCAGCTGCTCCTCTGGCCTGGAAGGATGGTTCCCATTCTGGAGCTTGGAGTGGAGACAATGCTGAGAACATCTGCCCAGTGAGTGAACAAGCATGGTGTACCTGGTGCCGGGATGGGTGTCTCTGGTGCCCCTGGCTCAAGAACATGTCGGAGCAGGTCTAGAGCAGTGAGTCTCATACCAGCTCATGGTATGAGAGGAACTCTGGGGCCTGGAGTCCTGTAGTGCAGCTTGGGGTCGTGGCACCCACATCTCCCTTCAACTCAGTGAACTGAAGCCTAAGGTTTATTTTTATTTTTATAAGCCTAGTCGAGTGCAGTAGTGAGAAAAGAGGAAAGAGTTGAACAAGGAGTTGGATCTGTAACTGACTGTGAGCAATCAATTGAGCTAACTCGCTACCTTTGGACACACCCAGCCTAAGATTTTTGTTTGAGAAAAGAGTTATGCACTCAAAACAATGAAATCATTCCTCTAGACCAGGAGACAGAAATTTTGGGGCCAGAGAGTAAATATTTCAGGCTTTGCAGACCATACAGTCTCTGTTGTAACTACTCAACTCTGTCATTGTACCATGAAAGCAACAGACAGCAACGCACTAATGAATGAGCACGAGCGTGGCTGTGATCCAATACAACTACATTCGCAAAAATGGGCACGGGGCAGATTTGGTTCACAGGCCATAGTTTGCTGATTCCTGCTCTAGAGGTATGGGCCACATCTAGAACCCAAGCTCAGTCTAAGAGTAGTGCTTCCCAACCTTGTACATCTTGAAGCACAGAGAAAACACAGGGCCAAATGATATACACTGGGGAGGCCACTGGCAGCCAGGAGGATGGAGGCAGCAGGCAGAGAACTTGCTATCTCGGTACACCTGTAACTCCCTCACAGCCCACTAGTTCAACAGCTCCATGCTAAAAAGCCAGGATGAGGAACAGCCCCTGCACTGCACAACTCCAGGAGGCACCACAGGATGACAGGAGGCTCAGGGATGGCGGCACAGCCTGAGCCAGCAAAGGTGCATGCTCTCCGGTGTGGGCAGTGCCTACACAGGCTGGGTGGGTCCTCAAGGACTAGAAGGGCCCAGGATGGGATGGAGGCACGGAATGACTTCAGGGTCCCTCCAGCAATGATTCCTTGCATCAAAAGTGGAGTTTTCTTTTTTTCTGAAAAAAATTTTTTTTTCTTTTAAAAGATGGGGTTTCACCATGATGGCCAGGCTGGTCTTGAACTCCTGACGTCAACTGATCCACCCACCTCAGCCTCCCAAAGTGCTAGGATTACAGGTGTGAGCCACCGCGCCCGGCCCAAAAGTGGAGCTTTCTGTAAGATGTTGGAGAGGACAGTGAACTGAGGCCTGTGCTTTCTAACATCACTCTATTTGGGTCCTGGGAGGAGCCTGGACCAGAAAAGGCAAGCCCTCCCCTCCAGAGCTCCCTTTCCATAGAGCCCTATGCTCAGAGACTCTACTGCAGAGTCTAGGGATGTAGACCCCAGCCACTATTCTGATCCCCTGCACCCCACCGCCCACTACCTGGGTAGAGGTGTTTGATGACGGAGAACAACTCCTACCTCTACCCCCAGCTCCCACTGCCAATGGCTGTTGAGTTTCCCTGGAGCCTTTCCAGCCCCATTCAACACAGCCCCTATGGTACCACAGTAGATGCTAAAGTTCAGCCTTGGTCTCTTGGTCATGAGGGAAGGGGGAGAGGGAAGATAAGGAATCTATGAATTTGGGAGGAGCTGGGAATACCGGCCCCATTACCAAGACTGCTCCCCAGCCTGGCTGGAGAGTTTCTGCTTTGCCTGGATATCTACAGAAAACAATCAAATGCATTGCTCTTCAAATGACTCCTTACCCTTATTTTTTTTTGTTGTTGTTGTTGTTTTTGTTTTAAGATAGGGTCTTGCTCTATTGCCCAGGCTGGAGTGCACAATCACAGCTCACTGCAGCTTCAACCTTCCGGCCTCAGCCTCCCAAGTAGATGAGAACACAGGTATGTGCCACCATATCCAGATAATTTAATACATTTTTTTTTAGTAGATACAGGGTGTGGCTATGTTGCTTAGGCTGGCAAGTGATCCTCCTGCTTCCATCTCCCAAGTAGCTGGGACCATGAGTGTGTACCACCATGCCCAGCTAATTTTTTGACTTTTGTAGAGGCAGGGTCTCCTCCTATGTTGCCCAGGATGGTCTTGAACTCCTGGGCTCAAGCAATCCTCCCGCCTCAGCCTCCCAAAGTGCTGGGATTACAGGTGTGAGCCACCTGTCCGGCCTCCTCCCTTCTTCCTTGTCCTTGAAGTGCTCCATGGGCCCTGGCCCTCCTACTGGTACCCCATGCACACGCTGGGACAAGAGCAACACCAGCCTAGCCAATCCTGAGTGGCCCAGCAGACATCTGAGCTCCAAACCAGCTCCAGAGACCCCATTTCTCACCTGTGACCCCAATGTCTGCCAGGTTCCCATTGCAAAGGCTCCAGCCCAGGGATTTCAGCTCCCCTGCTTCCTGGTGGAATCCAAAGACCGTGCTTTCTAGAGCTACAGTGGTGGGGGCTTTGGCAGGGAAGGTAAGGAAGGGGACACAGAGGGTAAGGGGAGGGGCTACAAATAGTTGGCTTTTTAAATGGGATTCTCTGGCCTAGCCTTGAAAACCCAATCTAGACTGGTAAATGCAGGAACTGCTGGGCTCCTCTAGCTCGTGCATCTACCTTCCCTCTCTCCCCTTTACTATCTCCTTTGCACCGCCTTTTGTTCATAAACAAATTCTTGCTGAGATATAACCTCTGTCAGCTTATGACCAATACTGCCTCTTCCTCCAAACTGGAAGAGAAGTTTTTCTTTGTTCTCATGACCCTCAGAAAAGTCACTGCTGCAATCTTTTTAGCACTTATCACAGTTGTGAATAATTAAGGTCTGTGCTTCTGGCTTCTCCATGAGACAGAAGTTTCATGAGGGCAGGAATCATATCTGTCTTTTTCACTACTCTATCTCCTATAGGGTGGAGCTCAGGAAATGTCTGTTGAAAAGAAGAAAATATGACTTCGTTGCTGTGATGCTGTGAGAAGTCCTTCTTGCAGTCTAACCTCTATCAGTCTTGCTGCAGTACCAGTTCCTCTCACTCTATCCTCTGTGGAGTTAGAACCCTTCCTCTCCTAACTGCCCCTTAAGATTTGGACACCATCCACCCTCCAACCACCCCTGCTATCCTAGTCCTCAACCCTCCCCACCCTAAGGTTGGCTGGTGCAGAGGGTGAGACTCCAAAGTCTTCTAAGGAGCAGCCCTGAGCACATGGAGATGGAGAGGATGGGGTTGCTTAGGCAACTGTCGCCTGGCAACCAGCTCCCTGGCTGATCTCCTACACCGCCCCCCCCACCCCCGCCTCATGCTGGGGGAGCTGGGACGAGAGAGGGATCAGGGCTGAGAAGGCAGGGAAGCCACAGAGATTCACTGAGCACCGTCTGACAGAGAGAAGTTAGGGTTAAAAAGACCAGACCCCATCTATACTCAATCCCTACCAAGGTAGCCCAAAGCACTTTTTATATTTCTATGCTTCCCAAGGCCCTTTCCCTACTGTTGCTCCCACCTCTGTGCCAACACTGCCAGAGGAGGAGATGCCCCCGCCTTGGGCAGTCCTTCCTTCTATCTAACCACAAACCCTTCTACAAAGCAGGCGAAGTCTGTACTGACCTTTTTTTCATTCTGCTATCCATTCCACATTGCTGCAGGGTCTTTGAAAGCCCTGGGGCCAGAACATGAGTTTATGAGAACATAAACTCAATCCTGACTTTGAAAGAAGGAGTGGCGGGGGCCTAGGTGGGCACAAAGTACCCTCTAACCTGACCCTATCCAAGATGTGGAGGCCTATCCTGGCTAAGCTTCCCTCCAACCCAATTAGAGAGATTTTAATGAACACCTGGATTTCCTTAATTAGCCCTCTGCCTAATTACCTAACCAACTGGCAGGAGCCAGAGGACTGGGCATCTGTTCTCCAGATGTGAGTCTCTCCTCTCCAGCCTGGCCTGGCCCCATTCTTCTCCTGTCTGATCTACTCCTCCTCTAGGAAGCCCTCACAGATGATCTGGCCTTTGGCTGCTTCTCTTCTAACCCTCTCTCCTTCATCCTGCCTGGTATTTGGAGCCCAGGGCTTGGAAGGGCTTGGGCTACCAAAGAGACAGGGGCTTGGTCAGGATAGCCTTCCTGTTCTGATGGCCCCAGGGCCTGTCCAATACTGACCTCAGGCCACAGCTATGACTCCTCAGGCTGACAGTAACTATGTCAACAAAAGTTCCCTTCAAAGTCTCTAAAGGGTCTGGCTGCTTGACTCTGATTCACCTGACTCCATGGGCAGGACAAGGGTGGGGCAGGGTGAACCTCATGGTAGGGTACTGGGCCAGGCAGAGGCAGGGCCTTCTGGTGGACATGGGAGAGGCAAAGACAGGGGAGGAGGACATCTGGGTTGGCCCCAGGGAAGTGGGCACAGACCCACCAACTGTGGAGAAGGGTGGTTGAGGAGAGGCCTTCACAAATGGAGAGCAGGGAGGATGCAGGGCAGGAGGCCCATCTGACAATACCCTTGACAAGAAGGAGAGCCGAGGGGGCCGGGGGGATCCAGAAGGACCCCACTGATAGCCATTTTTCCAAGCTCAGCTACAGACCCAA